ATTATCTTGGTGATTTGATATGGAAATCTTGTTGACAATAAAGATAAAAGATTCATATAGTTTTAAGTTTTAAAAGATCCTACACTCCAGAGCTGTTAATTTTCGAAACAATGAATGCCCGATTGTTTGATAATGTAGAGCTTGCAAGTTAGATAAGGTTAGAATATTTGTCTTTGAAAATGAATATGTAACTATCCCTTCAGTTAAAATTGACAATGATTAGAATTAAGGACAAAGTCTTACTCCAAATCTTATTCTAGAAGCAATTTCAGATCAAAATAATATTCCAGAACCCCTTATATACAATCAAGCGATTTTTTTTCAAAAGACTAAACTCAATAACCTCAAGAACAAGTTCCATTAATGAGATTCACTAGAGATGAAAAATGCAATTCTGGATGACTTCATAGTATTTCTCAAAAGATTATGATAATGGCATTGGATTGATGAATGAAGATCCAATTAACTTTCAGAGGCAGGAGAACAATGCCTATCTAACATCTATAATTAAAGTTGGAGGAATCATCCAATATTTTTCTGGGAAAATAATCGAGGACAATGGATTTTCAGACATTAAGGACAATATTTGATTGAGGTTTGGGGGTAGGGGGAAATATCGATATTTTTTACTCGTTTATATAATTTTATATGTTTTGTGTGATAGTAATGTGTTTATTGATTTTATATAATTGAAAAAAAAAATGAGAAAAAAAAATTATGTTTGTGTGAATTGGATAACCTTGTCGACTTATGATATTATAATTATAATTACGTATTGACTTAAAAATTGTGAATTGTTGAGTACTATAATTGATTGTATGCCTATTCTTGTGAGACTTGATACGTTTTGAGCACTTTATTGAGTTATTAATTGTGAAATTGTGATTCATTATTTGGGATAGGTTGAATTAGTTTGAACTTAGAATGCTAAATCCAAAATTTTATCATATTATACAACCTCAAAACCATTTGAAAAGATAGTTTAAGGGTGATTGAGGCAATGTACGAAGCTATTGACGTGAGTGTTGATTCCATACGTGAACATTAATTGTTAGATTGTCTTTTGCTAATAGGATGAAACTAGGTATGATTATCATGTTAAGAGTTTGATCTCGAGAATGTGTGTTATAATAAAAGACATTACACTAATCGTTGCAAAAAAGGAGAAAAAGTTGACATGTTTCATGAGTAAAATCTCTCTTTAAAAGATTTCAATGAAGACCACCTATTGAAAATGTTGAAAAGAAAATTTATGAAAGGATCAAAGCTAGTACATGAAATGGAATAAGTACATCAACTTTGAAAAAGGCAAGCGCATAAAATAGAAGACGCAATATACATGATTAAGCCTCAAAAACTTCTTTTAGGGAGAACTTTTAGCGGGAATAATTAGCCTAGTTAAATCTTAGAGGCTGAAATCTAATAAACTCATCATTTGTTAAAATAGTCACTTGCATTGATGAAATTCATCCAAACTAGAGTGAAATGAGTTAATATTGAGATTTCTACCTTATAATACACCTCGAGATAGTTTAAAGAACGAATTTGGGGGGTGCATCTTAAGATTGGAGGCCTTCGAGGGTCAAGAATTGAATAAATGAGTTTATGATGATTGGCTTTATTATTAACACACTTACATCAATTAAACATTGGATAAGTGAAAATTTCAAAACTTATAAAAGGATATGTTCGTGTTTATTTGTTGAGTTAAGTATTTGGTTTTGTTTGAGGATGGACAAATATTCAAGTTTTGGGATATTTAAATAGTGTATTTTCTACACTTATTTAAGTCATCAAAAGTGAATGTTTGGACTCACTTTTAAACAGTTATTGATTAATCTCGTATATATATACTATTTCTTTAGGTAAACGCGATGCTGGAAGTTTTTGGAGAAAAAGAACAAAAATCGGGAAAACGGATGTTGTTGTACATTTTTCAAAGATTGGGGACCAAATTGAAATAGTTTGAAAGGTCAAGGGCTTGGATTGCAATTATAAGAAACTTGAATTGATTAAGTAATTGAAAATGAGGATCACTTGCACTTGGGCATAAAATTGTACCTTCGATCGCAAGCCAATTGCCCATGCAATCGCAAAGTCTTAAAGATGATGTGCGGATAGTAACATAGTGATACCATGTGAATGCAACTAAATGTACCATGCAATTGAGAAAAGATTTTGTTTCTTTTTTAGTTTTGTCCATCTTTAAGAAAGCAAAGTGGCCAAGATTTTAACCTAATATGGGATGCAAAATTCGGCATTCTTCATTCAAGAATATGGAGAAGAAAGTAAAAAGAGTGTCAATGCATAAAACATCAAGAAATTGAAGATTTAAGGGTTGGAATTGAAAATCAAAAGCAAGGAAAAATTCGAATTGAATTGAAGACTCGTTTGAATGACTTCAAGGAGGCGAAATTGATTATCTTTCTTCTTGCAAATATACTTTTCAGGTAATTAATATTCAAATCTTTTAATATAATTGCATCATTAGCATGCTAAGCTAAACTTATTTTAAGTAAACCTTTGATTATTGTTTTAATTCAAAGACTATTTCTTTTTAGTATGATTTTTGTAAATTGATTGTTATCATATTCTTAATGGTTTATTGATATACTTGATCATCATTTAGATAATATGTGACTTATTTTATTTTCGGGATTTTGAAATCGGTTTATCACATTACATTTAATATTCAACATAAGGATCAATTAGCATTATAAATAATTATTTATGACTTATGCAATCATAATAGGTAATTTTGTGACTGGGTGCATTCCTAAGTATTTAGATTCGGAATATTAATATTTTGAGTGTGTTAAGAAATATGTTTAACTTACCTCGGAAAATAGAATTAGTGGTTATCAATTTATACACAAATTTGTCTAAAGAATATAAATCGAGAATTAAAACGAGAGATCAATTGGTGAAATCAGATTTCTAACACGCTCTTCTCATATAAAGTTTTCTTAAAAATAATTTTCACATGAAATTAGATGAAAATTTGTATAATTATTAGTATAAAACATACAAATAACACTTCATAAATTGATTTTGTTACATTCGCATTCAATTGCAAATAAATACAATTTAAATTAAAGTTTATTACTCGTGGGTACGATACTTTCAACTTATTAAATCTATTCCCATAGCCTAACTAAATTTCACCTAACACAAAACTTCAAATTTAATTTATCCCCATTTATTTTGGTAATATTAAAGAACATCTTACTTTTCTTTCTCTCCTCTTCTTGTTTGAATCAATATAAAGAAAACCGTATCAAATTGGGATCCGAGAAGACTCGACTTGAGCTCCAATAGAAATTGGAATTTTTATTGTATATGACTTATTCCTCCCATAGATTAAGTGTAAAACTGGGTTCAATTTCTATTGCTATTAGTGCTAGATACTGAGCAATTTAATAATAAAATATAACTAAACAACGGCTGGCTGGCATTGGCCGGATAAATATTATCGTAGCACTGATGATCCAAGCATTGGATGCATCTAATCTAGTCCGCTGTTTTAAGAACTGAAGAAGTAGTTGTAGTAGTAGTAGTCGTCGTCTTCATAGTTAGATAGCCTTGCTCCGTTAAAGATGCAACACAATCCTCAAACATTTCTTCAATTGACCTCAACTTTAATCCCAATTCCTTCAATTTTGAGGTATCCAATTCGTAGTATAGCCTACCAACTTTCTCAAACCTGACAATTGAACCCCAACATATGTACAGATCATTCTCAGTAGTGATGAAAAATGTATAGAATCTCAGAATTTTTGTTTATTTACTATGTGCAAATTCATCTGTGTATGACAGTAATTTAACTAACCTCTTGGGAATAGGCAGTGATGGAAATTGTGCTGCCAGAATAGACGCTAGTTCATTAATGTCAACAACAGTTGAGGAACAAAGGTAACGTCCCTTGGCAGTTTCACGTTCATATGCAAGAATGTGGCACAGCGCAACGTCGTCAATATGAACATATCCCATTCTTCCATGCCACTTAAATTTTTCCGTCTCCCCTTTTCATATTGTCGTGGTTTAGAAACATCAGCATACATACAAAAGAAGCGATATGCGTATACTACGGCCAGTAGAGAAACTGGTATGTACCTTTGAGCAAGCCAAGGACATCGGCCGCAGTAGAGCATAAATCAGGAGGCAAACTTGGTCCAATGACAAATGAGGGAAGAACAGTAACTAGATCAATATTGTTCTCTTCACAGAATTCCCATGCAGCCTTCTCTGCTAGTGTTTTTGACAATGCATACCAAATCTAGTACGATAGCTAAAACAATTAAGGGCTATCTAATCCAATATAATTAGGCAATTAATCAATTATAGTAGGTACCTGAAGTCTCTCACAGAGTTCGACAGAGCTCCAAGACGACTCATCCAGTGGTACACTGGGATCAAAATCATCTCTTGCCCTTACTGTCGAAGAAGATGAGGTGAGAACCACACGCTTTAGAGATGGATTCTTTCGGCACGAGCGCAGAACATTCAGTGTGCCATCAATTGCTGGTTGCAATATTTCACCCTGTATGTTCCAATTAACACTAGCCACTTGAGCAGCGAATTAAAGAGCCGGTTATACTAAACGTCAAAATAAACGATTGGTTTGCCTTTTAGTTCCAAGAATTAGATGGATTCACACCTTTGGATCAGAAGTAGGGCGTCCTAAGACAGGTGAAGCAGTGTGAAAGACACCACCACATCCCATAACTGCCTCGTCAAAGCTTCCCTCTACCATTAGGTCAGCCCTCACCAGAAACAGTCTCTCTTTCGCTCCTTCCAGCTTCCATAGATGACCCACTTTCTTCACATTTTCTGCTTATATATTGTGTGTCAACTCAGATCATTTATACAGATGTAATCAGGCAAACTAGACTATAACCATACAATATCTCTCTATTAAATTTGAGCGGCCGCATACATACCTATGTCCCTAACTGTCCCAGTGACATGATAACCAGATAAAAGAAGTCGCTTGATCAGCCATGAAGCCAGAAACCCAGCTGCACCAGTCACACAAACTTTACCCTTTGATTCTAGCGTTCGATCCATTTCTGCCGAAACACTGAAATCTAGTCTCAAGATGAGCCACATATAACCCTCCCATTGCGTGTAGATTTATATGCCAAAAGCTTCGAGCACATCATCAGCATGATAATAAGATGAAGGCTAGAATAAGGTAAGTCATCTAATGCTTGTGGGTCATTTATAGTTTGCAAACAACAAATAAACTAAGTCGTAGCAAGTGAACAACTTGACATCGTTAACAGCCAAAGGTGTCATATATTTCCAGTTTGTATATCATAAACAACGGGTGAATTGGGCATAAAAGAGAAACTGCTGATTCTTTTTCATTTCACAAATGAACCATAATCTTGAAGCAATTTGACAGAATTGAATTCATAAACATATTAATCGTGTTGTAGACTAGAAGTAAATGACACGTAGTCTTCATTTTATATTTCCGAAAGTTGAGTTTCAGGTTCTATAATAGGACCAGCATTGGGACATCACCATTCTATAATTGAAAACAGTCATAGGACAAACCAGACGGGTGATTTCTCCCCATCAGACGTTTTCTTCCCTAATCAATAAAAGAAAAAGGTACTTGATTCTCCTTTTCCATAATATCACAAACCTTTAGGCGAAATTCTGAACAAAAAACTGAATAATTGTCTGCCACACTATTCCTCTAATCGCGCTAGATCAACAAAAAGAGTTAAAGCAACTACACTGACCAGACCAATGGACTACAAATATGTTGTTTGTAATTAAATTATTAGTAAACTATTATCAGGAAATCATTTGCTGCTTTCAGCAGCATTGACAACCTCCTCTCTTTCCCAAAAAAGAAAAAAATGATTGGTCTCTTGGGAATCAACCCATTACATTAAAATACTAAAGAGAGTAATTGGGCACAAAGGCAGAATAACTTCTTCCAGAAACAGCAGCTCGAAAGAACAAGGATTGCCAGAATTTTCTTTTACAGTCAGCCTTCACTTGCTTCTTGTGCTCTCTATGCGCGGATGCAGTTTATAAAATTCTTGTCCCCAGATGTACTTACTACTGTACTCTATTGATTAAAGCTAATTAGTTCCTCATCCTTCAATTCGAATGTCCAACCAGGAAAGTCAGACTCCGAGAACAAACACGATGGAGTTGCTTTATAGAATGCCAATGGGACTTGCTTCACCCTTCGTCTCATCTGTGAGAACAATTTATATTTTCAGAGGATGAATTGCAGAAAATAAAAAGTGCGTGCTGCATAAGCAACTATAATCCACCAGAAATGGGTTGAAACGTAAAACTAAATCGGGCCGCGAAGTTGCATGAAAAACCAAGGTAAACAGATTAATGTGGGTTAAAGATCAGCTGTGTATCATCATCCTTCTTAAATCATCAAACAAGAAACAGACCACAGATTTGCAATAACAAAAAATACCCATAATTTAGTTCCTGAAACCTAATGCAGAAATGAAGTCACATAATTTCAACGTGTTAAGGAAAACCCCTCAACCAAACAAATGATGTTAATCATATATGACAATCAATGACATATAAATGTCTGTAATATAGCAAAAATACCTCGCTATTGAAAATTGTTGCATATGAACCAGAACTGAAATCCATAACTGCAATTTCAGCAGTTTTTCCTCTTACAGCCAAATCATTCTCAAAGGACAAAAAAAACCTGATCCCACAATGAAGAGGATAAATTATTAACAGAAGATAAATCGAGAAATATATTGTAAAAGGCATTAAGTGTGGACATACACACAGATCATGTTATAAAACATGTACCTTGAAACAGGAGGGCAGTAGTGATGTCGCAGAGTATCCAACTCCCAGAGAGAGCTCCCTGCCAAATAATGCCATCGATATAAAATTATACTTTCAACCATAAAAAATACAGCAGATCTTGTGAGTTCATTGAACGGGCAGTCGAGGGATATGCTACGATATCAATAAAAAACAGCTAGTATACAAAATTAAAATTACTAGGCATGTGTGTTTAAGAAGCTCTCACTTCCAAATTTCTGCACCACTGAGCACTCTGACATCCATAGTTAACCAATAGATGAAAGCATGAAAGAGGACTTTCAACCAAAAGAAGAAAACCAATATCCCAGAAAGTGGGCACAACTGTAGCTATATCTCCTCTTATCAATATATACTTCAGCCATACCAAGTACTCTAGCAAGTTAACTCCCAGTGTAATGATTATAGCCAAGTTTGCAGTTCAGTATACAAACCGGTGGGGCAAAGCCATTAAGAAGTGGAAAGGCCAGTCATCAATGACAATTATTCAAGAGGTTGAGAGGTAGCATGCAGGAGAAACTTCAGGACCAAAGGAGCTTTGGCTATTGAAGAAAGACCCAGAGACATTTTTCCCTTTTTAGACAGGTTTCAAATGCCTAGCCACTAGCTATTTATCTTAGCAATTGACCATTGCAACATGGATTTGGTGGCAAAGAGAAGGATTAGCAGCCTCAATTTTTATTTAAAGGAAAATGAACACAGAGAGTTTCTTGGGAAACCTTGTTTTCCATTTCATTCTATCCCTCCCCCACCCCCAACTTTTTTTAGCTCATGTTTAGTAGACATTAAAATCAGATTTTTAGTAGATTTTGATAAAAGTTGATGAAATGTATCGTTGAAAAGTTGTTGATCTAATGAAACGTGTGGTTAAAATTAATTGTTGACTTTAACTTGAAATTTTAATATTTTAATTGTTGACTTTAACTTGAAATTTTAATTGGATTTCAATCCAAACCAAACCAAACAGGGGCTTAGTTCTTTTTGAATGATTTATAATCACGATTAACAATCTAATTAATATAAGAAGAATATCTGCATATAAATAAGGAAACAACGGCATGCGGTTGCACCTGGCACTTATTGCATCCATGTAATTTTGTTATTTTAACTTTAATCATTCCTCAAAGATGTTTTTCTTATACTGCCACAATCTGTTGTTCATGTTGCATCTTTGACGCTCACATACATATAAAAATCATAAAAGAAAAAATTGGAACTTACTTATGGCATTAGTTTCTTTGGGATTACTTTCATCCTCGTTAAAATGATCAATGCCTGGTTTTTTGTCAGACAAATCCCTGTTAGCACTGGAGTTCTCTTCATCATCAACATTGAGTTTTTCTTCTCCAGAAGCCTCTTCTGTAGTTTCACGACTACGTTCCTGCACAGCATTAGTAATATTATATCAAACACACTAGTCATCCCTTAAAAGGAATAAAAAAAGCAAGCGAGCATTTAAAACATCCTCCACCATTCTTTCAAGGCACAGACATCTTAAGCATAACTGAGCATGTATTCACTGTGTTCAAACTTCAAAGTCACTCATCAAAGTTGTTACTGGTTTTTCTTTTTCCCTTTTTGTGAATTTCAAGATTCTCATTCTAACAACATTTTAGATAGTAAAGTACTCATTGTGTTGAAAATGATTATTAGATATAAGTCATTATCATCTTCAGGGTCGAAGCCAGGATAATAAAGCAAATATTTATTTCACACCCCCATATCCATTGTCTCAAACTACTATTATAACCATGACACAGAGATTATTCAAAAGTTTACAAATCATATTTCTCAATTAAATGTGCTGACTAATGACTATTGAAGAAAAAATATGGAAGGCTAAAGCCTATGGTAAAAGATAGATGATTTAACTACATGGAATATAAAAGATCATAAATCTTATCACTAATCCCTCAAGAAAGAGCATGAACTTGAAACATCTATCAATTAAAATATCCCAAAAACAAAAGCAAGGGTAAGTTGACAAAGAACACTACTTGAACACTACTGAGGCATTCTAGAGGGAAAAGAGTTCATATAAAGACAGATGCAATGAACTTAGCAAAATATATTATGAACCAAACCCCCCATAATGATATATGATTGTGTGAGTGATTTATACTCTATAAGTGGTCACTCCAGCTCATAGGAGAAACGATATAACACACATATACGGAAATATTATTTTCTCTGTTGTTGCCCCAGCTTATAGGAAAAATATTATAACACAAATACAAGTAGATTATTTTCTCTAAGTGGACAAACAACAAAAGGGAAATCACTTCTAGCATCATCTGGCTTACCATAATTTTTTGGACCTTCTTTTGGGCCATTCATCTTACCTTCTAATAAAATGGACATTTCAGGACAGTTTACATGCCAACAGATGATTTACTTGGGCAAGATGTATTGATCAAAAATTATTATAGTAGATTCTTGTGAGAACTCCTCGGTCACATGAAGTTTGTTGATCACCTAGACACGCAGGCTTCTGCAATTTGTACCCATTTTATTGATGTGGTATTCCATTCTACACTACCACCCACAAAATATCTCGCCAACATTCAGCCATAAAAGCCAATAGATGTCATCAAGAACTTTTTGGACTTCCAAAAAAAAAAAAATCAATCACCCTTGATGGGCAGAAAAAACAGCATTGTCAATCCGAATATCATCTTTACATCGTCTTCCCAATGGTTTTTTTCTTTTGGGGTGGGGGGGCGGGGGGAGTAGAAGATTAATTCCCGCATATATTATGGGCAGAAAGGGAATAATGAAGGAGTCGAGTAAAATGAGGTTTCTGCTCACAGCTTGCATAAATTTGATGAAATGATTTGTCACAATATGAAAATGAACGAAATCTTCATGGCAAACCACTAATATAAAAACAATATAGAATATAAATGGAAAAAATAAAATAAAAGATGGTTTTCTTCTCACTTGGTGCACCAAACAGTTGATTGAAGGATGTCTCTGCAGAAGGTTGTGAACTAAAGCAACAATGAGTAATGCACCCGAAGGAGGAACACAAAGTGCAAGTCTACTCAATTTCTTACAAAAAGCAGCTGCCAAGTACGCTGGAAGAAGTGGTGATTTCAAGCATGAATCCAGAAGCTGTAAATCACATAATGCAGTTAGAGAGATTATTTCACTTCTCTGAAGGACTAACAAATTAAGCCTTATTTGCAAAATAGAAAGGATGTTATGAATAAAATTAGTCCTCTTTTTGCTAATGGTATATGATAGTTACACCTGATCAATGTGGAAAAACATTGGTGCATTTGAGTTAGCACAACAATAGCCATGAAAAAAGCAATAATAGAGACTAGATGCCTTGCATTATATGTTTAAATTTGGCAAAAGGATCCATTTTACTTTCTTCGAAGATAAAGCTAACAAAGATATCAACTCAATCATGGAGACATGGACCATAAAATCTTCTCAATTACACAATACCTAGTATAAAGAAAAATGCACGAGCAATAGTAGTCATAGACCTCATTTGAATCAATATTTTGAAGCAAGGATTACATTTCAAAAAATGGTTCATGTGGCATGAGTATAGGATGACACAGGAAGGAGATTGCCCCATTCACAAGCATGGTCACATGACCACTGTTGACGATAAAAATCAGATCAACACATTCCTTTCACCTAAACAGAATTTTCACCCCCCAAACTCAGTGGTTTTGATGCTCAAATCGAAGCAAGAGGAGAAATGGCTATTTGGAAGGGAAATTTTTGAATTGTGCATGCTTTCTTTCTCTTGGGCAAGAGTATTTATAGATTCTCTTCGGTCATTTAGGAAAAATGGCATATGGCAGCCTTTTATTGGTTAAACTTATAACTGATTCTATTATAGTATCACATTTTATTCATTAGCTTACATGTCTTTCATTCATTGTCTTTAAAGTCATGCTTTGAATACTTGCCCACATGCACTTTAATAATGATTTTTAGCTAGCTTAGATGGGGAAATGTCTCGTCTATACTTGGTGCGAGCCTTTTCTACATTTTTCTCTCGCATATTGCTTATGATTCGCAAGCAAAGGGCATGGCTCTAGGAGTGTATTTATTTATTCAACATATAGTCCCCGAAGTTTGATTTTATTATTCATATTAAATTTAGGACGTGTTGCCTTGTTAGACTGCGAACCTATATATATTATTGGCGTATGTCTTTTAATTTGTTACAGATGACGTGAGTTGTATTGAGTGGACATGATATGATTGTTGCGCGTCAATCACGTATCAACGTCCATTCCTTTAAATTCTTGATCAGGCACCTCTAAGGACCCGTTTGATACCTATTTTTCACAAAATACATTTATCTCTCTCTTCTTTTCAATCACACATTCTGATGCGGACATCAATCATCAAGATTTAGTTTTTATTGTTATTTAAGGGTTTTTTCATTGTAGTTGGATGAGACGATGAATGAATAAAAATGAATNAAATGAATTGAGTTTTTGGCTTGCACATTTCCTCTCTTCTCATCTTCTCACCTGATGTCTCCTCCAGCTTCTTCCCCCATTCTCTCCAGTTTCTCCCCCCTTTCTTGATGCCTTCTATTCTATCCTGCATCAAATTTAGTATCAGGGCTAAACCCAGATTTTGTCATCAATCTGTATCGCAGGACATTCAGCAATTCCACACAAAACACTACAAATTCCCCGCTATAGAGTCAGTTTAGTTACAATCAAGCGGCTATCGCCTTGTATCTGCTGTAAGTTTTCCTGCAACTCCACATAGGGGAAATCACAGTATTTCGAGATTTCCAACAACTACCATATACACAACCCATCCGCTGAAAATTAAACAGAGAGCAATTACCATTAACCACCCTTGCAGCTCCCCAGCAGTTTCCCCAAAAGGCTCCTTTTCTCGTCTCCTATGGAACTCAAAACACTTTGGCCTAGTACATATAAAACCCATACATAACACAAGGCTCGATTATACCCCTAACCTGGCCCAACGTCATCACCGCCGCCAGTCACCACCTCGGGGCACCACAACACCCTCACCTAAATACCAACTGCACCTCTGTGTCACCGATTCACCATCAACCCACAACTTAGTCACCAAAGCCAGAACCTCAGCCACCAAACTAAAAACAATAAAAAGCCGACGTAGCCATCACGCAACCCAAATCGCAACACACCACTAGAGCCCCAAACCAGCGACTCCAAGAGCCGGCGCACGCCGTACACCTATTGGTTGAAACGCCACCTCCACTTCACAACTGGGATCGCCAACGGTAGAAGCACCGGCCAACTTGGAACTGCCGCAGCTTTACAGCAGCACATCGCTTGTCTATAGGGAATGGCTTACACCTTAATAATGGTTTTTAGCCAGTTTAGATAGGGAATGGCTTGTCTATACTTAGTGCTTCTTTTCTATATTCTTATCCCTCGCATATCGCTTATGATTCGCAACTGGAGGGCAAGACTCGCTGAGTGCATTTATTGATTCAACAACCACGATG